GTGATTAGCTATTAATTAAGGGTAAAGTAGTAATTAGTATGGGATTAGAGATTTGGATGGTTATATGGTGATTTGACTCGTCAGGATGTTGTATGAACAGATATAGGTGAAAGGATCGCGTTTTGGGTCGAAACAAGTGCACATGGTGAGAATTAATCTCACTATGCCACATGCCGCGGCTTATGCTGCATGCGCTACACCACATGGACCATAAAGTAACTTCTTAAGTCATGAAATTTTAGAAATTTTAGAAGGAAGAAATTGAAAACACATAAAAAGGAGAAGAGAAGAAGGGCTGGTATGCTAGTCAAGAGATTTCAAAGCCATAGAAGGTGCTTCTAATCAGTTATATAGCAGGTATGCTATATATAATCATTACCTTCCATTCTACCTAAATTTCTTTAAAAATGAGTTATAAGGAAATTGAATGGTGAAATTTTAGGGGGTTTGATTCTTGCTCAGTAGTAACAAAAAGATTCTTGAAAGTTAAATTAGAGCTTTACGACTAGTTTAAAGCTGACCATAGGCTTAAATAGCCTAAGTTAGAGAGAAAAAGGGACAAAAATTTAGTTTGAATGAAATGAGACTGGTTGAGGTGATATAAAGTGATAATCGAGTAGTAATAGATCTAGAATGGATAAATGGAAAATAATAAATGGCTAAATATAGCCATAAGTAGTAATTATATACTTTTGGTCAAATTGGACCAATTGACTAAATTGTGCCAATTGGGTTTAAATTGGCAAATTATGTGTGTGAGTTGAGAAAGGAAACTTGTGATGAGCTATAGCAGTGGTTGACATCTATAGGTAACTTTTCTAGTAACAAAAGGGTTATGGTAACCAAATAACTTCTTTTATTTAACTATTTATTGTAATTATGTGTGGGTATGCTATGTAGTATATAAGAAATGGTTTTAAACAAAGCATGATTTATGGCATTTTGTGAATGTTGGATGAAATGGCTTTTGATCAAATAGAAGTATTGAAACATGTGATTTGATATAATGTGTGTATATATATATGTTATGTATTGGAAAAGATGTAAAGTGGTGATTAGGAACCTAAGATTGGTTCAGAAAGCATGATCATATGGGTGAGAGTTCAACTATCTAGAGTGTGGTAATAAGACCATATGGCATATTTTCCTCAGTGTTCAACAGGGTGTGATGTTGGAAAATTATACCTTTTTAGTGCCTATTGAGGTACGGTGTTGGAGATTTAGACTCCTTAGTGTTTGTGTGATATGACACTACTACAAAAACGTAAATATAAGACGCCATAAAAAATGACGGTCAAATAAAAACACGTCATATATGAGATAGGCAGGTGATGGTGACCAAGTAAATGATAGGTCTTAAAAAAAACCGTCATATATTACAAGACTTTAAATGACGGGTATTAAAAAATCCTGTCATTTATTTCAGCCAAACATTTCATTTACTGGAAGAAAAAAATAAAAAATAAATTTAAACTTTAAATGACGGGTATTTTAAAAACCCGTCATATAAAGTTTAAACAATATATGACGGTTATAGAAAAAACCGTCATATATTTGTGCCCGCCGTTTTAGATTCTTAAAATAAAAAAATAAAAAGTTTTAAAACTTTAAGTCCTGAACTATATATGACGGGGTTTTCAAATGCCCGTCATATATTTGTGGCCAACTTTTGATTTTCCTCATTTAAAAAAAATAAAAAAACATTAGGCTTTAAATGATGGTTGTTTAAAACAACCGTCATTTAAAGCCTTATTTATATATGACAGGTGTTAAAACACCTGTCATATATTATGGAATAAATGACGGGTATATAAATACCCGTCATTTATTCCCTTTTTATTTCTATTTCCAGGTTCATTTTTTCATTCCCTCCCATTCGTCGTCCCTATTTTCTCTCTTCTCCTCTTCTACAAGAAATTGATAGAAATCTCACAATCAGCCTTCATTCTTACTGTCGACCACCGTAGTCCCTCGCCGGCATGAAAGTACTCCTCCTACACTGTCCAAGTCCTCTCTCGTTGGCTTCCTCTTTGTGTTTCATCCTCTCTTCTCTAAGGTACTTGGGTTTGTGATTTCTATGGTTTTTCTTCATTTTCTTCCAATATGCTTAGATTTCTAGATTATGGAATTGATTTATTTGAGATTATAGATTGTTTTATTGGTTGATTTTTGTTGTTTAAATATCTTCTCATGTTTTGCCCATTTTAATATTGTGGGTTGTTGAAAATTGCTAATGTTTGGTGTTTTATTGACTTGAGAATAATTATAAATGATTTGCTTTACCTTAGGATGATTATTAAGATGAAAATTAGTGATCAAAATGGGATATTTGTGATGATTGTATTTTTCTATGAATTTTGACTGATTTATTTCAATAATTTTTAATTTAAATTTCGTGCATTGTTTGATCAAAGTAGTTTTATCGTTCAAAACTACATATTGAAATGTACTAGTGTACCAGTTTTTATTACAATTGGAGTTCATTTTAGTGACAAAAACTGACGCGCGGTTTCTATAAAAATCATTGCTATTTTATTAAAATTTTTACATTTGGTAAAGAATGATTTGTTCTTGGCTTGAGATTGCTAATATAGGATATGTGTAATCTTAGAATGATTAATGAGACAGAAAACATTGATTCAAAATGATGTTTATAGTGTTTTTCTTTTTTCTATGAATTTTGAACGAATTTTATATATAATTTTATAATAATTAGAGTTAATTTAAAAATGCTATTTTGTGAGAATTTCATTGGTTTTGTGATTGTATATAGTTGGAATTAGTTTGTTAAGTAAGATGCCTGAAAATTACTTATTGTTTTGTAATGTGTGATTTACATTAAACCTGAAAATTACTTATTATGTGCTTTATTTTTTTATATTTTCTACTTTTCTAGGTAAATTGCTTCTCAAAGGAGTGCTAGTCTCAGTGGACCTAGAAGTGCTGATCCTAGCGTTGAGATGAATGACCAACAAATTCAGCAAGAAGCCAATCAAATAACTAGAGGATTGACATTGATGATCGAGGTGAATAGAAGAAGGGCTACTGGACAGAAATATGAAGTTGAATGGAATTTCAAAGGTCAACCTATGAAGACCAATAGAAATAAATTCATCAGCTACATAGGGGTTGTGGCGAAAGCAAATGTGCCAATTACAATTAGGCACTAGAATGATGTTAGTCCAACTACTAAAAATTATATTTGGGAGCAAGTAGAGGTAAAATACTTTACTCACATCGTTGTAATTAATTGAAATTACTTGATCGAAAATCTAATTAATTGGCTTTGGTGTCTTGAAAAAAGAGATTGGTAAAATTTCTTCTCCTAGTGTAGTTTTATTGACTTTCTTTTGGCAAACTTGAATTTCTAAAATTTCTAGCTTCCGTTACCCACACCAACTACGATGTGGCTCAGACCCGATCCATGCTCGGGATTCTTGGCGACCGACCTGACCATGAATCTACGGGTAAGTTTATATAGGGTGCGGAAAGTGAATGAATTTGTGCAGATGATGGAGAAGGACACACGTATGAATTACATGTTTACTAGGATTGATGAAACTTATAAGTAATTGAGCTCTTCTGCATCCACGCAGCTACCTGCATCTTTTTCTACTTGGCCACCACACTACCCCCATCCTAAGAGGGGTACGCATGCATGGATAGGAAGTTTATAGTTGGGCGACCTTAGTTATATTGATCTTTGGAAGCGTCATGCAACACCTTTGTATTTTAGACTTTTGTTGGTAGGTTACCAATAATTGGCTTTGGTGTCTCAAAAAAGCAAATATTCGGGTCACAGAAGAAAGCAAGGTCAACAGAGGATGTGGGTGCAAGGACTAAGATTACCACCCTGAAAGAGGAGCTATCTAGGCAACGGGACATGATTGAAGCTTTACTAAAGGACAAGGAGAGGCGGGAGGCAGAGTTTCATATTAGTCCTGGCAGGAAAGGTAGCTACAGTGTCATGCAGCCTATTAAAAATCTCCCTGAGGTAAAGCATTATTAATTTATTTCACTTATATTTCACTATTTCTATTTCCCATAACTTTAATATAGTATATTACTTATTAATATAGGGCGAGAACCTATATGAGTTGTTGGCAAATAGCCCAAAACGTCATGTGGTTGCTATTGGTCGGGTATTCAATTTTCCAGGAGACATGTTACATAATATGCCACTCCCTGCGTCCTATGTACGTGTTGCTATTGATGTGCCGAAGGATTTGGACTATCCGCTACCTATTCCCACTGAGGATGCAGGGATTATTGGAGAGGCGATGGGTAGTTTTGTTGGATGCCAAGCTAGTCAAGTTAGGATGCCAAGTCCCAAAAAAACTATCAAAGATGCACAGTCAAAAAAAAAGATGATACCCCGATCTAGGCTCTCCTCTAAAAAGGTAGTCTCCCATAAAGCTATGCCTGAACAAGAGCCTCAATTGCCAAGCCAACATAGAAATTTGCTCCAAGCATATGCAACGGTATATAGGTCTAATCCTCCAGTCCTATAAATCCCATTCGAGGCTGGTATATATGGCAAAGATCAATATGATATGCTTTTACTTGATGTTGTTGATAAAGTGCTTCAACATGATATGACCAGTCTCACTATTCTCAGCTTCTACATACGGTAATTTTTTTTCCATATATGAATAGTTAATATTTTAAATATAAACTAATCTATTTCTTGTATTTATAATAGGTGCTTGTATGACAAATTTGTTGTCCCTTTTGATCTACAAATGAAGTTCGTCTTTGTTAGTCCTCATGAAGTAGGTGCACATGCCTTAATTAAAAGCCACAAAATTTTAGAACAAGCAAAGGCATTAAGCGAAAATTTCAAAGCAAGGGCTCGAAAGGGAACATTATTCATAATACCGTACTGTCAAGGGTAACGAAATTCTCACTTATCTTAATAATTTTTTTATTTTTAATTTAATGGATTAATTATAATTTTGCCACACTTTTTAATACTATTAGGGACTATTGGATGTTGATCGCTACCGAACCATTCGGCAACACTCCAAAAATATATTATCTCGATTCTTTTGGAGGGGAACTAGGGAGGAGACAAATTTTATTAGAGTTGATTAATACGTAAGTACATATATAAAGTATTTTACATATTTATTTAATTATTTAAATTTCATACTAACATATTTTTTATTCTTTCATTAAGGCGATTGTGTTATACTGTACTAACACAAAACAATCAATTCCAAGGTCCTTTATAAATTTTGATGCGGCCTACACTTGGAATATAATTAAGGTAATGAAATCATTTATTAAATTAAAATTTAATGCATTAATACATATTTATATATTCTTTAATTTTTAGTGTCCAAGACAAAAGAAAAATAGCTTGGATTGTGACTATTGCGTAATGAGATTCATGAAGGACATCATTATCCATAACGAGAGCATAATTCCCAAGATGGTATCTCAAAAATATTAACTTTTAAATTACAAAAATATACAATGTATTAAAATTATATTAATATATGTTGAATCATTTATATATTGCAGTACTATGATGATTCTTATGTTGAAGAATTCGGGGATGCAGAAATAAATGAGGTAATTGAAGAATGGTGTCAATATATTTTCCAAGTGTGGACTTCATATAAAGAAGATTAATAGAACTACCTTGAAGAAGTAGCTAGGAATTTTTTTTAATAGGCAGTTTATTTTTGGAAAAAGGTTACTTTATGTAATTACATTTGTTTATTGATTAATTTTGAAATTGAATATAATAAATTTCATTGGTATTAAAATTTGGAATGGTTGGCTGCTGTTATTTTGATTTCTTTTTGTAGGAGGACTGGTATAAAAACAGCCCACGAATTAAAAAAAAACCACATAAAAAATAACGGTTATATAAATAACCATCATTTATACTGAAATAAATAACGGTTAAAAAAATGCCCATTATTTATACTGACTTTAAATGACAGGTATCTCATTTACCTATCATTTAAAATATGATCATAATTTTTACAATACTTTAAATGACGGGTAAATGAAATACCCGTCACTTATACTGACTTTAAATGTCGGGTATTTCATTTATCCATCATTTAAATTCTCAATTTGCTTCTCTCTTTGTAAAAATTTTATTTTAAATGATGGTTTTATAACTGTCATTTATTAGGAGTCTTTAAATGTCAGCCGAATAAATGACACTTATTAACCGTCATTTATGGACTAAAATAACCGTCATTTATTCCCTTTTTTGTAGTAGTGTGATGTTGGAGTCAATAACAGCTTATTGTGTGTAATGGAAGAAACCATAGTCTGGAAGTAAGATAGAACACCTTTAGCCGGGTGATTATGTTGCTAAAGGTGAGCTCAAGGCTAATGAGATTTTATATTGATCTAAGGCAAGCCTATCATTTTGAATCAAGTTGATTTGGAGGCTTGGATGGTAAGGATCATGCTTATGTTAGAAAAGTGGTGAAAAGTAGTGAAAGTGGTGATATATGCTATATTGATGAGATTTAAATGGAATATGTGGTAAATGTTAATCTTAAATGGTATATTATGCTTTACTTTCATATAGTTACATGTGATAGTCAATAAGAGTGCGTTATTCTATTACTAACATTTTTATCTTACTCCTGTGGTTATATTTTACAGGACAAAGCTGTGATCAGGGCAAGGGAAAAGAGTCTAGATTGGCATAGTGGTGTCGTAGTCGTGTGAAAGCTTTAAGTTTGTGTAATGAACTAATTTAGTGTTCATTTTGTATATATGAGTTGCCATAGGAATTATATGTATGCTTTGAGTAGTGAAATAGAGAAAGTGTAGTGATTTTGTGAAATCCTAACCCAATTATGTGTGTGTGTGTGTGTGTGTGTGTGTGTGTGTGTGTGGTGAAATGAGAATCAGGCGCTAAGATTTGGTTTTGTATGTGTTATAGATGTTGTGAGTTTTGGTGAATCTTAGCCCATGTATGAAATTATGATGAAATGAGAAATTTGGGCATTAAGATTGAGTTATGACTATGATATGAATGTGGATAGATGTGATGTTGGTGGTGAGATGGGCCAAGTAGGCTAAGCTATGTTAAATTGTGATTTATGAAAAATAGGCTATTGAACAGTCGAATTTTGGTATACATGTATCTATGTGATGAAATGTGTTTAATTAGGTGTGTTAGGTCCTTTTGGACTTGGTTCAAGGCCTTATGTGGTTTAATAAGATAAATGGATTGATTTGAGTGCTTAGGTGTATGAAATTCTTTAAAAAATTGACTTTTTATACCTTAATGTCTAAATTTCAATCAAATTGTTAGATCATTTCTAAACCTATCTCTTTAGCTAGCTTATGAGATAAGCTTCATGTGGGCACTTGAATCACTCCGATTGGATGTTATATGTGAAAATGGCACATGTCAGAAGTTTATCATTTTTATTGTCAATTGATAGCAAAAAATTTGGATTGGCATGCCACGGCACATGACACAAAAGGTTAGGTGTATGGCTCTGTGCCACATGCCACAATGTATGGCCCCTAGTTTAACCTAATTTTGTAAATTGAAATACATGAAATTGGTGTTACGAATGCATGTGATTTGCTTCCACTGTGCATTACTTAAATGTGTTGTGATTTTAATAGTTTTGCAAAAAAAAGTTTTGGGCTCAAGCATTTCAAATAATGTATTTTATTACTATGGAAAATGATGTGTGTGATAATTTAGTTAATCTTCTCCTATACCTGAAAAATATAGGGGAAGGTTACACTATCAAAGTCAACTATTTTGCAACTACTTAGAAGAACCATTAGTATCAATATTGAAATTCTAACACCGGTGTTACTTATCTTTATAACACTAATAGAATATTTCTTTAGACAGAGACATATGCTTATTTCAATAGCAACTCTGATACCTAAGTTGGAATAAAATACAAAATTTAATAAACTTTAAATAAATAATGGAAATAAAGTTGCTTACAGTTCGTTAGGATTTAACAAACCTAATTCTCTTCTTATGAATATAAACTACTCTGTACCCAGAGGTTTTGTGAAAATATTAGCAAGTTGAAGATCAATAGAAATGAATTCCACTATGACATCTTTCTTTTGAACATTATCTCTGCTAAAGTGATAACAAATATCAATATGCTTGGTTCGAGAATGATGAACTAGGTTTTTAGTCAAGCATGTTGTACTAGTATCATCAAACTTGACTGAAATATTCTTGAGCTTTATTCCAAAGTCTTCAAGTTGCTGCTTCATCCATAAGATCTGAGAATAGCACAAGCCAGTAGCTAGATATTATGATTCAAATAATGATAAAGAGACAATACTTTGTTTCTTGCTTGCCCAAGAAACAAGTGATCTACCAAAAAGTGGCATGTTTCGCTTGTGCTTTTTCTTTTTGTCTTGCATCTGCCAAAGTCAGTGTCAGAATATCCAATTAAGAAATCTCTCCCTCTTTTAGGATACCAAAGACCCAGTGAATAAATATCTTTTAGATATATGAAAATCCTTTTCATTGCTATCACATGGGATTCTTTTAGTGCTAATTGAAACCTTACAAAAAGACCAATACTGAAGGATATATCAGGACAACTTCTATGAGATATAGAAGAAACCCAATCATCCCTCTATATGATTTGCAATCATATTATGTTCTCGTAGCATCTTCATCTATCTTGATGGTTGAGCTCATTAGAGTATCAATTTCATTACCATGATCCATCCCAAACTTTTTGAGCATTTCTCTAAGATATTTAGTTTGACAAAGAAATATACCATCCTTCTTTTGCTTAATTTGCAGCCTTAAAATAATGTAAGTTCTCCCATCATGGAGATTTCAAATTCTCCTTGCATTAACTCTGAAAATTCCTTACATAGAGATTTATCAGTAGCACCAAATATAATATCATCTACACAAATTTTAACAATTAACAAATGATCGTTTTTTTCTTTTTATAAAGAGGGTAGGATCAAATTTATCTCGATTGAATCCTTTTTCTAGAAGTAAAGAACTCAATCAGTCATACCAAACTCTGAGTGCTTGCTTGAGTCTATAGAGAGCTTTCTTCAATTTAAAGACAACATTAGACTTCTAAGGATTTTCAAAACTAAGTGGTTGTTCAACATACACTACTTTAAGGATGTACCCATTAAGAAATGCACTTTTTACATCCATTTGGTATAGCTTAATGTCCTTCACAGATGCATAGGCTAAAAGTAGGTGAATTGCTTCTAACCTTTTAACTAGAGCAAAAGTTTTTTCACAGTCTATTCCTTTTTCTTGATTATATCCCTTTGCTACTAGTCGAGCCTTGTTCCTGACAATAGTGCCTCTTTCATCAAGTTTGTTCTTGAAGACCCACTTAGTTCCAATTACAGGATAATTTTTATATAACATTGTACATTTATTAATCCCGTAATTAGTGGTTAATTGAGGGTAAGGTAGTAATTAGTATGAGATTAGAGATTTGGATGATTACTTGTTGATTTGACTCATTGGGATATTTTATTACTAGGTACGGGTGGAAGGAGTATGTTTTAGGTCAAAGCAAGTGTGTGTGGTGAGAATTAATCTCACCACACCACGTATTATGGCTTGTGTTGCATGCGCTGCAGTGCATGAACTAGAAAATCACTTCTTAAGTCATGAAATTTTAGAAATTGTAGGGGAGTGAAATTTGGAAACACGTGAGAAGAGGAGAGAAGAAGGGCTAAGAAGCTAAAGCAAGCCATTTCAGGTCATTAGAAGGTGATTCTAATTGATAACTTATCAGGTAAGCTACGTATAACTCTTACCTTTCATTCTACACAAATTTCTCTAAATGTGAGTTATAGAAAAATTGAATTGGTGGAATTTGAGGGGTTTAATTCTTTCCTAATTGTAATAAAAAGGTTCTTCGGAGTTAAATTAGAGCTTTGCAACTAGTTTAAAGTTGAATGGTAGGCTTGGAACCTAGAAGCTCAATTTGACTCTTAGAGAGAGAGAGAATTTAGGGCAAAAATCATGTTTGAGTAAAATAAGACTAGTTGAGGTAATGTAAAGTAGTAATTAGGTAGTAATGGACTTAAAATGTATAAATGAAAAAGAGTTTACAAATGAATATAGCTTTATTAAGTAATAAATATGATTTTTTAGTCAAAATAGACTAAATGACTAAAATGTGCCAAATGTGTTTAGATTAGCATAATAGACGTGTGAGTAGAGAAAGAAAGCTTGAAATAAGTTATTGTGGTAGTTGAAATCCACAAGTACTTTTTTAGTGACAGAAGGGTTGAGGTAACCGAATAACTTCCTTTGTTTAATTGTTTATTATAATTGTGTGTTAGTATGCTATATAATGCATGAAATAGTTTTGAACTAAGCATGTTTGACAGCATTGCGTGATTGTTGTATGAAATGGCTTTTGATTGAAACAAAGCATTAAAATGCGTGATTTCAAATGCATGTATTATTTATATATATATATATATATATATGTTATGTGTAAGAAAGTATATAAAAGTGGTAATGAGGAACCTTAAATGGTTCGGAAAGCATGATTATAAGGGTAGGAGTTCACCCATGTAGAGAGGTGGTGATAAGACCATATGACATATTCTTTTTAGTGTGCGGCAGGGTGTGGTGTTAGAGAAAATTCTCCTTAGTGCCTTATAAGGTGTGGTGTTGGAGAAGATCTCCTTAGCACCTATTGAGGTACAATATTAGAGATGTGAAACTCCTTAGTGTCTATGTGATATAGTGTTGGAGTCAATGACACCCCATTGCATATATTGAGGGAAACCATAGTTCGTATGTGCGTTAGAACATTTTTAGCTAGGTGATTCTACCACTGCAGGTGAGCTCAAGGCCAATAAGAGTATATATTGGTCTAAAGTGGGCCTATGGTTTTATGTCGAGGTGATTAGGAGGTTTGGTCGACAGTGATCACGCTATGAGATGCTATGGAATGCTATGTGAAAGTAGTAGAAAGTGGGGAATGGATATGTGTTATATGAATATGAATAGAAATGAGATATGATATAAATGCTATTTTAATGAGATTTAAATGGTATATACTATGCTTTACTTCCTTATTGTTGCATGTAATAGTCAATAGGAGTGAGTTATTCTATTACTGAGATTTTCATCTCACCCTCATGATTACATGTTTACAAGACCAGGTAGTGATCAGGGAAAAGGAAGAGAGTCAAGACCAGCTTAGAGTTGAGAAGCCATGTGATTCCAGAGTTTGTGTAATGCATCAAGAATTTGTATATATATGTGTAAATGAGTTTCCATAGAGTTACATGCATAACTTGAGTAGTTTTTTTATGGAATCTTAGTACCAATTGTATGTATATGAAATGAAATAAATTAAGGGGCTATGATTTGGTTATGTTTGTATTGAAGTTGTTAATTGTTAGTGAATCTTAAACCCAAGTAAGAAATTATGATGAAATGAGTAATTTGGGGCTAAGATTGCAATATGAATATGAATGTATGTTTATGTTGAGAAAAAGGCCAAGTGGCCTATGTTGTGTCAAGTTTAGGCAAATTGTGAAAATATGTGAAAAGTGAAAATTGATCATAGGAATGTCAAATTTTAATATATGTGTGTGATTGAGATACATTATAGTCAATTAGGTACATTAGGTCCTTTTGAACTTGATTCAAGGCCTTGTGTAGTCTAATGATAGAAAGGGATTGATTTGAGTGCTTGGGTTCACAAATTTTTTTAAAAAAAGTGACTTTATGCACCCAAGTGTCTAAATTTTGATCCGACCATTAGATCATGTCCAAACC